AATTTACAGCAATTATTTCTTCCACATTGTTAACTATCACTGATCGTACGGATAAAAAATCAATCTCAAATGTTTAAAAATTCTTCTAGTGAAAAATAATAACTATTTTCTAGCTACAGTAATTTAAATCAAATAAATCTGACATGATTATTATCGAAATTTTTTCCCACTTTTCTTACGCTTCGATAAGGCATGACGTGGCGAGCATATTATCGCTTCGCAGTCAATAAGATTACGACAACAGCTGTTAAGAATACCGGAGAACAAATCACGTGGTTAAAAAAAAGAAATAAGCCAAGCTCTGCGTTTATTGAGTTGTCAGTGACTGTAAGTGGAAGCTGTTTTATGTGTCATATTCAAGTATTTCTGCAAACAAAGCAATCGAAGAAGCTTAAATTATTAGGATTTTATTGGAGTGATTTAGATTTTGTAGTGCCTCGTTTCAACGTAACTTAGCAAGCAGTTAAGTTGCGGCCCGCGCGAGTCAATCGCGGTGTCTTGCGAAAAGCTCCAGAGAATCAACCACAGCGGCCTCTCCACCGCGGCCAATCACTGCAGCTCAACGAATAAAAAAGTCTAAAGAAACATCCCTACCAAACCTTCCCCTTCCTTAGAAGTCTAGGCCCTCTGGAGTGCATTGCGGGAAAGTAGACCGTCAAATATCCTAGATTTTACCGTTGAAAAGCACACCAGTGCGGAGCAAGAGTCTTCCCCTTCAAAAGCAATGTTGTAACGAAATAAACTGGTGGTTGTGTTGTTTGCAAAACAATTTTGGTCTGCCACGCATGACGTGAAGTCTCCACCTCGTCAAGCTGTCAAATGCACGTGCACTACATCGTTTCACTCTTAACCTGAGACTACTGCCATAGCTTCAAGTGCGAACTAGTCCGCGCTGCTTGCTTTATTGATGTGCCTTTCTAGCGCATGCGCTCGTTTTGTGGAAGAAAGGTTGAAAGTCGTGATCTCGTGCTCTCGCGCTTCTAGCCTTGGTCGCGGTCTCAGCTTAAAGCCACGGCCCACTGCCTATACATCATAAAAAAGGCACAGTGTCCGCTGGAGACATAATCATAAAGTTATCTGCGGACTATTAACCTTAAAAAAAAAAAAGGCTTCTTGCCAGTTCTGCTTTCAATGTTCTTGCGTATTGCGTGTGATTTGGTCGCCTTCCGAAGCTACGTACATGCGCGTGCTGGGGTGAGGGGATCCCACGTTGGGCTAAAACTTGTTAAATTTGAAAATAGTCTATACTCCGTTTCATTCTTAGTTTACAACGCTGTCAGAGCTACAGGCTCAAGCATGGGGTTTGATCTCGTTAATCATTTGCACACGTTCTCGCGCAAACCGAACCATAGATGAAGCCACGCGCTCGCACAAGTAGCTTTGACAGCGTTGTATACTAAGTTTGGAGTATACACCATTCCAATCCTCAGCCCAGCGTGCGATCACCTCAGCCCAGCACGCGCATCTTCGTCGCTTCGGAAGACAAGCAAATCACGTGCAATACGCACGAACACTGAAAATGAAACCTGTTATACTTCGTCTCACTTTAGCATGGACTAACTGTGAAGGCTGTGCAAGCGAGAGCGGGTAGCCTTGATTTGCTCTTCCAAAGCAAACAGCTCGCGCTTTTAGCATGCGCGACTAACAATAGTCCATTCTGAGGTGAGACGAAGTATAGGAGCCCTTTTTAGGAAAGGTTTATTAGCGGCGAGATGTTTCGGTGTTGCCCTCGTACGGTTACCTTTCGTGGCGTCATTACCTCGCGAACAACAAGTTCGATGGTGTTTGTAATTAGCATGGCGGAAGCTTGAAATCATAGCGTTCTTAAAACGTCCGTAAAATTTTCACTCTCACAGCTATGGCAATCTGAATGGAAGTTAGCCAATAATAATAAGCTTCATGCCATCAAACCAGAACTTGGTGCATGGGAAACCTCATACAATAAAAATCGTTTTCATGAAGTCCTCCTGTGCCGGTTGAGCATCGGCCACTCGTTCCTGACCCATCAATATCTGCTTATAGGTGAGGAACCGCCAATATGCGAGCACTGTGGAGAAACTTTATCTGTTCTGCACTTTCTGTTTCTCTGCCGTGGCCTTCTACAACAATACAAGACCTATTTCCCTGAGTTTTTCAAATACAACATCCCATTTCACCCTGTCTTGGTTCTAGGGGAACAGCCTCTCGTATCATTTGAACGTCTTTTAGCTTTTCTCAAAACTACAGGTATCTTACACAAACTATAGTCAAGTTCTAGTCTAGTCAGAGCACTTTTACCAATGTTTTTTAACTTACCTAGTTTGGCGCAGTATGGCCGTCGGAGCTCTTGCGCCATAAAACCCGCAAACAACAACAACAAATATTTTTTTTTCCGATGTGAGATAGCCTGCGCTTTTTGGTGATAGCGAGTGTTCGTTCAGCGAAAACACGATTAAAAATGCGATCTCTTGTCGCAACTTCTGTTGCACCGTACGATGTAATAATGGTACAGTGTACTAGAATACTTGGGTAGTGAAGGGAAACGCAAAGACAGCAAGCTGTAACTAAACACAAAAAATTTCTCTCTCTCATTCTCAACCGTCAGGATCGGTAAAAAAAAGGAAAGAAAAAAAAAAAAACCACCACCAGCTCGTTTTAACCACCACCAGCTCGTTTGCGCCCTTACCTTTTGTTCAAAAAAAACTTTCCCGCGTGCATGTCGCGGGCTCCCTTACAACCCCCACGACACCATCACACTGCACAGTACATGCACCTGTAAGCCCGACTACCACTGGTTTTTCCCGAGCCCGATGTGCGTGATGCACGCAGCACTTCCAACGTTCCAAAGGCTACGCGAACACAGCTCGACGCCATGAAATCCCTAGCAAACAAACTTCAGCTCCTTGCACTGCGAACAATTCCAACCCACCTCCCCAGCCCATGACTCTCCTCTCTTACGCGCGGAAGGCGCCATAATCCATGTCAAGTTCAACTAAAAAAAAAACCTCTCGACGACTTTGCTTCTGCGACGCCTAAGCACCCCCTCAAGCTCACCCATCTGCTCAAGCTCGGAAACGCAAAGAAAACACACCAGCGCACGTTCACAAAAGAAAAAAAACGCTTCCCCACCCGCACGGTTCGCACCTCCCTTGCCAACAATATCCCTCCCTCCCTCCCCCCCCCCCCCCCCCCTTCCGTGACGGCGCTCAGCTCTCCAAAGTCAAGCCGCTCAACTTTCGCAAGGAACGCCAGCCGCCAAACTCATCTCAGCGTCTGAACTCATGGCTTCACTCACAATATCGAACGTTTCAGAGTTCACAGGCTCGCTCCCCATCAAATCGCAAACCCATCAAGTTCACGATGCTACTCACAACCTCATCACAAACTCAGCACACTCACAAAGTCATTCACCACCTCATCATGAACTCATCACGCTCACGAAGTCACTCACCATCTCATCATGAGCTCATCACGCTCACGAAGTCGCTCACCGTTTCATCATGAACTCATCACGCTCATGAAGTTACTCACCATCACATCATGAGCTGATCCGAGTTCACGAAGTCACTCACAATCACATCATGACCTTTTCAAACTTCACGAACTCGCTCACAGCCACTCACAATCACGCAATGAGTGTGAGTGAGCGTGAGTAAGCGAGTTCATGAGTGAGTTTGCCGAGGTATGCGCGTCACATAAATAAAGGGTCGATCTCCCTAAAGATATGCATCATAAGTAAATGCACCTCCAAATTATCTTATATATGCCTTACAAATCTTTTTGGGCGTATTTATCCTCGATTGGCACGTCTATAAGTGGTTTGGGAGAACTTTAGACAAATGTTTTATTTTGAAGCTGGTTTAAATAACATCCGTGTTCCTGACGCAAATTCAGCTTCTCAAACATATAGAAGTCTGTTGCTCCTTTTATGCGAAGAACAAAAATTGTATGTGTCTGGGGGCTGGACGAAAACAAAGTACTTTGTTTTCGTCCAGCCCCCAGACACATACAATTTTTGTTCTTTGCATAAAAGGAGCAACAGACTTCTATATGTTTGAGAAGCTGAATTTGGGTCAGGAACACGCATGTTATTTAAATCAGCTTCAAAATAAAACATTTGTTTAAAGTTCTCCCAAACCACTTATAGACGTGCCAATCGAGGATAAATACGCCCAAAAAGATTTGCAAGGCATATATTAGATAATTTGGAGGTGCATTTACTTATGATTAGGGTGTGTATTTTCCGGTTTTAACCGAAAAACACCGATAAACATCCGTCGGTGACAAAAATTTAAAATCGGTTAAAACCGAAAAACACCGGTGGTTGGATATTTTCGCCCTGGCTAGACAGCCAGGTGGCGCCCCGTGCACACCTGGTATATAAAGAGCATGTCGCACGAGATTAAAACAGTTGAACACCGGGCAAGCTTGCGTGCACTCGTCAATGCCCCGCTGTCCCGGGAACTCGCCGAACATTACAGTGGCGACGAGGAAGTGGAAGTGTTGAACTGCTGCCGTCGGACCGTGCGCCTGTTCTGGAATGCCGGTGGTCGGCAAAACTAGAGCCGTTTGACACTGAAACGAACTGGAGCGAGTACCGGGAGCGGGTTGAACAGTACTTCATCGCCAACGATGTCAGGGATGAGAAAAGGCGAGCTGTTTTACTTACGTGTTTTGGACCCGCCACATATTCGTTGCTTCGAAATCTTCTGGCTCCTGTCAAACCGTCGGAGGCCAGCCTAGAAACCATTTTTGAGGTATTAGGCGAGCATTTCTCACCGAAGCCTTCGGAAGTCGTCGCAAGCTTTAAGTTCAATTCACGGATGCGTCATGACGGTGAGACAGCGGCGGATTTCTTTGCTTGTCTGAACAAGCTGGCGGATGATTGCGGATTCGGCGCGTTCCGAAATAGAATGCTGCGAGACCGCATCGTCGGAGGTATTAACGACGAGATGATACAAAGGCGACTCCTAGAGATTCCAGATTTGACCCTTGACCTCGCAAAAAAGACGGTCGTTGCAATGGAAGCAGCGAAAAAAGATTCGCAGATGCTGTCGACGTCTATCCAGCCAAACCTCGCGTCAGCTAACACAGTGTCACACGATGCAGCTGTGAACCCGAAGTGGAAGACTGGTGCCATCTCGTGTTTTCGTTGCGGAGGCGAGCATTACGCCACACAGTGCCGTCATGCAAGTACCACTTGTCACAAGTGTCGGGGAAAGGGGCATCTGGCACGAGTGTGCAAGGGGAAGACAGCGGATGCAACCGCCGGCGGCCCGACGACGTCCACTAGAATACCGAGATTGGTCCACACCTTGGATGGAGCGGGCCAGTCGCAAGATGTCTCACTGCCAGAAGTCTACGAGATGTGGGAAATGACATCTTCTGCAGTCGACGGCCAACCTTTCCGAGTGGAAGTTACGGTGAACGGGACTTCATTGCTGATGGAACTTGACACGGGAGCTAGCGTGTCTGTTGTGTCTGAGGAGACATTTCGACGCGAATTTCCATCAAGGCAGCTGGACCCGTCGCGCATCATGCTGAAAAGCTATTCAGGTGAACTTTCCCCAGTTCAGGGAAGCCTTACTGCAACGGTGAGACTTGGAAACCGCGAATGTCAGGACATCCTGTATGTTGTCCCTGGCACCTGCGCCCACCTCTGCTAGGACGTGGCTGGATGAAAGGCCTTGGCATCAAGCTTTCCAACGCGAAGGATGTCAACTTCGTGACTTCTGTTGCGAACCTCGTTGCTGAATACTCCAGTGTCTTTGATGAAGGTCTGGGAACTTTCAAGGGGGTGGCCGCAAAGATAAATCTTCAGGACAACGCCAAACCAAGGTTTTTCAAGCCTCGTTCAGTTCCATTTGCGATGCTTGACAAAGTCAACGAGGAGTTGCAATGCATGGAACGGGAGGGAGTCCTACGTCCAGTGAAGACTTCGGAATGGGCTGCCCCTATTGTACCGGTCCTGAAACAAAATGGGCAGATTCGCATCTGTGGAGACTTCAAAGTCACTGTGAATCCTGTGACTGTACCTGAAAAGTACCCCATTCCGCGAGTGGAGGACCTGTTTGCTAAGCTGAGCAAAGGCGAGAAATTCAGCAAGTTGGACTTAAAAAAAGATGCATACCTACAAGTTAAACTTGATGAGAAGTCGTCACAACTGGTTACCATCAACACTCCACGAGGTCTGTGCCAGTACACTCGCCTGCCGTTCGGTGTGACCTCTGCACCATCGATCTTTCAACGAGAGATGGAGAACCTATTGCAAGGACTTAAGCACGTCGTTGTATATTTCAACGACATTCTCGTGACAGGGCGAAACGATCAAGATCACCTGGAAAACCTGAACCAAGTGCTGAGTTGGGTGCAGCAAGCTGGGCTGAAGCTGAAGCTGTGCAAGTGCGATTTCTTGGTTCCCCAGGTTAAATACTTTGGTCATGTCGTTAGCTCTGCGGGATTCCAACCAAACCCAGAAAAGACTGACGCAGTACTGAAAGCTCCAAGGCCTACCGATGTAAAAACGCTGCAGAGCTACCTGGGACTGGTCAATTTCTATCGTCGGTTCCTGCCTAACTTGTCCAGCGTTCTACATCCGTTAAACCATCTTCTGGGGGCAAAGACGCCTTGGACTTGGGGTGCGGACCAGGAGCAGGCTTTTCGTCAGAGCAAGGAGTTACTGCTGTCTGCTGCGGTATTGGCGCATTATGACCCGAAGAAAGCAGTGGTGCTTATCTGCGATGCGTTGCAGTACGGAATTGGGGCTGTCCTTGCTCACCGAGAAGGTTCAGGTGCTGAGAAACCAATTGCATTTGCATCTAGAGGTCTTCTGCCGGCTGAGCGCACCTACAGTCAGCTTGACAAGGAAGCCCTGGCTCTGATATTTGGTGTGACTAAGTTCTGGCAATACCTGTGGGGCCGTGACTTCGAAGCGGTCACGGACCACAAGCCCTTGCTGGGGCTGCTTGCTGCGAACAAGCCTGTACCTGAGACCTGTTCGCCACGGGTGCTGCGTTGGGCACTGATGCTGTCGGTTTACAGCTACAAACTGAAGTACAGACCTGGTTCACACATAGCAAATGCGGATGCCTTGAGTAGGCTGCCGCTGCCAGTTCCTCCATGTTCCATCGAGCGGCCAGCCGAGGTATTTATGCTCGAGGGGGCCTATCCTCGCGTACTACTTGCGTCTGTCGTGGCTGACGCCACTTCAAAAGACTTGATTTTGTCGAAGCTTCGAGATCATTTGTGGTCTGGAGCTGAGCTGCATGACCCAGACTTAAAACCGTACGCTCCTCGAACAACTCAGCTGTGCGTACAAGAGAACTGTATCCTGTTGGGGTCAAGAGTCGTCATCCCAGGATCCTTACAACCAGAGGTTCTACGACTCTTGCATGAAGGTCATCCAGGGATCGCCAAAATCAAGGCCGTGGCTAGGAGTCATGTATGGTGGACATCATTAAATGAAGACATTGCGGCTACAGTGCGGGGATGTCGTGTGTGTCAAGAAAACCAGCGACTCGCACGACCAGCACCAATGATGCCATGGCCATTCCCAGAAAAGCCATGGTCTCGTCTTCATATCGACTTTGCTGGACCAATGAAGAACCGATATCTACTCATCGTGGTCGACGCCTACTCAAAATGGATTGAGGTCATTCCTGTGTCCACGCCGTCGGCAGAAGCCACGATCCCTTGCCTGCGTGTGATGTTTGCCTGTCACGGACTACCAGACCTCGTCGTATCCGATAACGGGCCGGCATTTGTAAGCGGTAGCTTAAAGAACTTCCTTCAACAAAATGGAATAAGGCAGATTCTAACACCACCGTATCACCCAGCGTCAAATGGAGCCGCTGAGTGAGCGGTTCAAACCATAAAGTTGAAGCTGAAGAAGGCAGCTGATGGAAGTTTCCAATGTCAGCTGGCCCGAATCCTGCTCAACTACAGAACTACACCTCATGAAACCACAGGGTGCACTCCGGCGGAGTTACTGATGGGCCGCAAGTTGAGGACTGCTTTGGCTCTACTTCACCCGGACCTGAGGTCAAGCGTATCGAAAAAACAACTCATCCAGAAGATGGCGCACGACAGGGGTGCTCGACTGATACCAACTGTCCAACCGGGTGATGCCGTGTATGCGAGAAATTTTCGACAAGGTCCACCATGGGTACCGGCCACTGTGATCGACACTCCCAGTGACCACATCACAGATATCGCACTCCCAGACGGTCGGTGTTGGAGACGTCATGAAGGACATCTGCGTCCTGACCTATCCCAAGCTAGGGCATCATCGGGTCCGCGACCAGAGCCGGTGGATCAGGCCGCTCCTCCTAATGGGAATGTGCCTGTACCACTAGAGGATTCTGCCCAAGCGGTACCTCAAACTGTAACAGCTGAATACCAGCATGACGACACTCAGCCTGTTCCTGGCATTCCGCTACCAAGGAGTCCTGGTACTCTACTACCGAGGAGAAGTAATCGAGCATGAAAGCCTCCTGTGCGCTTTTCACCGTGAAAATCGGTGGGACCTTGGCTCATTTTTGTTAGGGGGGGGGGGGAGGAATGTGATAGACGACCAGGTGGCGCCCCCTGCACACCTGGTATATAAAGAGCATGTCGCAAGAGATTAAAACAGTTGAACACCGGGCAAGCTTGTGTGCACTCGTCAATGCCCCGCTGTCCCGGGAACTCGCCGAACATTACAATCAGGGTGTGTATTTTCCGGTTTTAACCGAAAAACACCGATAAACATCCGTAGGTGACAAAAATTTGAAATCGGTTAAAACCGAAAAATACCGGTGGTTGGATATTTTCGCCCTGGCTAAAACCGAAAAACACCGGTTGCTGCATGTTTCCGACCTAGCGCAACCCTTTCCCCGTAGAGGTTCGTCAAACGTGTTATCTCGTGGATCCTGCATTCTTCCAGTGTTTATACATGCCTTGCACATGGCGTCAGTCCGCCCTCCTTTCTGGCGGTCAAAAGCATCTAGTGGGTAGTGAACGCATTGGAAGCTAAGCTCTCCAACGCCTTAAATTTCCCCTATTGTGTCTACCATGGCCTCCTTTTGTGGAAAAGTTAACGCAGTGGAGGGTAGGCTCTCACGTGCCCTTTCCCCATTGTGTCTGGTCAAGTGATGTCGGTGCAAGCCATGTATTCAGAGGCTGCCGTGGTTCCTGGAAGACACTGCCAACGTCCGTGTCATAAGGAGCGTGCGTTTTCATAATTGCGGGTTCTGAACCGCAAGGAACGTGCTGCCATGAAGGTTGCAAGCCTCTCAAAGTATGCTTGCATCTACTATAATAACCAAGTGGGAAAATAGATTCTTCCTAGAAAAGAAGTGTATGAAATATGTGAATAAAATTGGAACTCTGTCTGTGATCTATCGCATTTTTTTTCCACCGATAATCACCGATTTTAGCCTAGTCGTGAGACGTCCCACCGAAATATACCGGTGCTTTGAGAATAAATAAACACCGAAAAACATCCGCCGATTTTTCTCACAAATAAACACCGGAAAGTACACACCCTACTTATGATGCATATCTTTAGGGAGTTCGGCCCTTTATTTATGCTGTCAAGTCTTCAGGCAGCAATAAAATATTTTAATTGTCATCAATACATTTGACTGTACGAAGTTAACATCACCGCTTAAGCCCAACACGAGAGGATGATACTCGAGAATACGCCATCTGTTGAGTTTGCAGAAACGTGTTTTTATGTTTGCTGTTCGGCAGTGTGAAACGCCGGGTCGCGGGCTACGCCAAAAACGACTGTGTGCTCACATTATACATCTGAAGGCAAATACACGAAATGTGCAGAAAGAGAGATAATAAATGGTATTCTTCTAAATAATCCCATACACGACACCTTACTGTAAAAATAACTGAATAGAAATTCGGGTTTTAAACGTAAACACGTTTGACAGAACTCCGTCTGGTTGGGCCAAAAATTTGAAAAATACGACCTTCACCAGCCAAGTCCTAAGGAGTTGGGAGCCCGACGTTTTAATAGGTCGGGCTCAATAGATCGACAGCCACCTAACCATCGGTGTATGTCAACGGAATATAGGGCACTTGAAGAACATAAAACTTCCAAGGAGACCTAAGCACTGCTTGTGAGTTGTGAAGGCGAAATCATGAATGTCGTTCTTTTGCGGCGTAGTGGTGTGGACGGCCACGTTTCGTTGGCTGACGGCTGAGCGTGCTCTCTCGTGAAGTGGCCTCACCGCGTTGAGCTCGGCCGGCCGTGCAACCACTTCGGAGTTTGCCTGAGTCGCACCGCCGCACCTCTTTACGGCGGCCGGGTTGCTGCGCGCGCTGCGCCGCTATGAAGAGGGCTTCTCTGGTGGCGTTTTTTTAGAGCTACACCGCACGAGAGCCAATGGGAGCCTCGTTCCTTGAAGACACGCGCTAGCCAATGGGAGCCTATCCATCATATTTCTGCTACATGCCACGCTGGGACGGGGGAAGGCGCCGTTTGGTGCGGCTTCAAAGCTGAAGACGTCGGTTCGCTCCATGGGAGACTTTCCTTCGCTTTTAATGCTTTCTCATTAAAAATGAAGGAAACAAACGACACACTGTAGACAAAAAGGAAGCTGCAGCTCTCCTTGTGCAAATAGTTTCTCCTGATGAAAATACCGAACTGGTTTTGAAACAAACTTCTAACTGT